TTTCTTTCTTCTGTTGAACACAAAAGAAAATATTTTGAAGAATGTGGGTAACGTGTCGAGACTCTGTTGATGGTAGCCATTGACTTCCATAGTATGGAGGGAAAAAAAAGGAAGACAGGATTTTCATTTTTGGGTGAACTATCCCTTCAAATAATGACTCTCCTTATCTTTTCCAGAGTCATGTCTCCTAACAAGAGGAAGGCATTTGGCCACAGTACAAACTCTGACTATCTGTCAGCTTTTTTCCTTGTCGGTGGACTCCTTTCATTCTGTTCTGAAGGACTATCCAGACATCAGGAAGGACCTGGAGACATTTCAACTGGATAAAGACATTTTGTTATGTTGAGAAAGTAAGTTTTAGTTCTATCAATGACACAATTTAGAGCACAACTTTTAGTTGATTAAACACTTTTAGTGGAAGCATATATTTTTCAGGATTCTTTGATGGACAGAAAGTTCGAAAGAACAGCATTTATTTGAAATAGAGATGATTTGTTAAATTCTAAACATATTTACTACCATTTTTGAATGATTAAAGTATACTTTTTTTTTTTTTTTAAATACTGACCCCAAACTTTTAAATGGTAGTGTATATTACATACACTCTAAAGTTATGTTAGGTAAATCTTTTTTAAAAATACAACACACTTCTACCCAATAAGGACAATTAAGCGTGCAAGAGCTTAAAGCATTTTGATCTCTATTTTGATTGGTAGATGGCTACACCTGCATCAAGCCTCTCCTGCAGCTTCCTCAGCATGCACTTTGCCAGCTTTGCTTTACTTGGATCTTCCTCTTTATTGGCATAGATTTCTGAAGCGGTTTTGGAATCTTCTGTTCCAGCTGGTGGATGTGGCCTTAAGTATCCTCTTGTCAGAAAATGAACTTTGTAAAGCAAACAAAGTGTGACGTGGTAACCACATTGGAATGGGATTCCTCTGAGAATACTGATAGGCTGATTTTAGACTGTTTGTAGGCCACCTTCTCGAGCTCCGCCTCTGCCCCCTCCTGGCCTCTGCTGCTGTACTACTTTCCAAATGCCCACAAGAGGATGCACAGCTCACAGCTCAGCATAACCAGTCACAATGTCATGTTTTTAGGATCTCTGCCGCTTGCTCCTCGAGTAGGTTTCTGCTTGTCTGCACCCCCAGGATCTCTTTACAACTTCCTCTGAAGAATCCAGAACAGCACCCACTGGTGGCCTTCATTTCCCTGTAGACTAGAGGGCATCTGACCAGGTCCTCGTTATACAGTAGGTCAGTAGGTTCTATCAGAGAAGCCTTGATTAAAAACAGAAAATAAATGTAATATTTTGGCTAATTTGTTCTTTTTTTCAACTACTAATGTAGTACGCTGAGCTAATTTTTACATCAAATATGTCACAAAAGTCAGTAGATCATTCCCAAAAATCAGCACAGAGGATGTACAAATTCTGTCTGGGCCTAGAAAAAAACCCACCATACTTTACATTTAAATGTTTTTATTTTTTGGGGGAAAAGGCCAAATTTGCAATTTCATAAAAGGATCCAAAGAATGTAAAATTGTTGCTCTGTTTAAAAAAAGTCAAATGTTTATAAAAGTCATATTTTAAAAAGATGTTAATAAAATATTCCTGAATAAACAGGGAAGTATGTTCTTGATTTTCTTCTGAAAACAATTTGTGAAGATTCCGTTATGTATTTTCTTCTCTCAATACAAAAAAGATCCACTGTTCTTCTTTATTTTCAAGGGTAATATGTGACCATATAAGGCCTATAAATCAACAGTGATAGGAGTTTGATAGCAGTGGTTCACCTCAGCTGTCCATGAGTTAATAGACATTCAGAAAAGAGTTAATTCACATTCTCTGTAGGTCTTCAAAAAGAAAGTTTCATTAGTCACATGTATTCACATTCATATATTTTTAAAAACATGATTCAGTTCCTTGTGTTTTTAATGTTCAGTCCTTTAATTAGAACTCTGTTTATCTTTTTTTATTTTTTTACTTTTTTAATGGATGGAAACATTCGGTTCATTTAGTTAATATAATCAGAGGGAATGGGAAACCTAAATGAAAAGAAATCTGTACCACTGAGGAATGAAGTGTCCAGAAACTAAACGAAGCATACAGAACACTGAGGAGTTATCCTGTCATGACTATTGTGCTAATGTAGGGGCAGTAGCCTGTCTGAAGCTCCTTGAAGTCTAGGATAAATTGAATTGTGCTTTGTTCTTCCAATGTGAACCGAGGAGTAGGTCATTGGTCACACAATAATATATAAGTACACAAAAATCAATTATTGTAATTAAACAATTATTCAAAGAAAATTATATGCATTCA